TAGGGAAAGCATCCATTTTCTCAGCCTGAAAAGCAAGCAACATTATTTAAATATTATCACAGGTGTATTAAAGACCACTTGAAAAGGAAAACAACAACCTTAGGACTGGGGGAGGAAACCACTCAAAACAGCACAGACTTCCACTCACCCCAGGATCTGAGAGGTTAGGGATTTGTCTTAGCAATCATTTTATTTCAGAAAATGATTTATTTTTCCTTTCATGGAAGTAGTTTACTCCGCCCTTGAGCGAGACTTTTAATCTTAGACCAGAAGATTTTTCTTTGACAGCACTGCTCCAGTAGATGAATGAGGGAAGTATGACTCCTGCCCAGGAAAACAGAGGCCAGGCTGCACCTCGTGTTCATTCGTATTAGTCTCACAGCACACTGAGGTTTGCACGTAACTTCATGCCAGGAGGAACAACAGGTGTGTCATACTTGCATATCATTAGGCCAAGCAAGTGCTCAGGCCACTACCAGCCCTTCCCCCTCCTTTGGGTGAGATCATTAAAATCACCTATTCCTCTATATTGCTTTCTTTTGGCGTTGCTGTAATGTTCTGTTTGAGAGTATACAGCACAGGGCTTCCCTGGTGGCGCAGTGGTTGAGAGTCTGCCTGCCGTTGCAGGTGACACGGGTTTGTGCCCGGGTCTGGGAAGATCCCACATGCCACGGAGCGGCTGGGCCCATGAGCCATGGCCACTGAGCCTGTGTGTCCGGAGCCAGTGCTCCGCAACGGGAGAGGCCACAACAGTGAGAGGCCTCCGTACCAAAGGGGGGAAAAAAAAAAAAAAAAAAAAAGAGTATACAGCACAGGGAACTCTGCTCAATATTTGTAATAACCTAAGTGGGAAAAGAATTTGAAAAAGAACAGATACACGTATATGTGTAACTGAATCACTTTGCTGTACACCTGAAACTAGCACAACACTGTAAATCAACTATACTCTAATATAAGAATTAAAAAACAAAACAAGGGCTTCCCTGGTGGCGCAGTGGCTGAGAGTCCGCCTTCCAATGCAGGGGACGCGGGTTCGTGCCCCGGTCTGGGAAGATCCCACATGCCGCAGAGCGGCAAAATAAATAAAAAAGAATAAAAATAAATAAATAAAATAAGCACTTTATTTTTAAAAATAAAATTTTTAAAAATTGTTTAAATTAAATTAAGAATCAAAAAAGAGAACAGTAGGAAAAAATCCTCAACTAGGAGTAGAAATCTAAAATTTTCCCACTAGATGAAACAAAATTCAAATGAATTCATATTCAATGAGTAAATTTTAAACACAAGGCTCTGTGTATAACTCAAGATTGCTCTGTTAGACACTATGTTGATCCCTTTGCATATTTGGTCCTATGAAATATAGTCCTCAAGATGTCCAACTACAGGAAATTGGAGAAAGAAAATTCCTGTGACCTGAAATAAATCAAACTGAAGGCAAAAAACAAACAAAAAGGAGTATACAAGGTCACCCTTATGATTTGAATGTGAATTCCATATCATCATTTCACATGGACAAATGCAGACTTTCTGGCGATGAGCCTCCTTTCCTTTCCCAGACGCCAGCTATCTCCAACATGTGTCCTGGTTGTCTTAGGAGAGCGAGATTCTTCTGGGATTCTTCTGGGTTGACCTGTTGCTCGGGGACCAACAAGCCAGTGGGACGAGCCGCTCAGGGAGCTGCCTCATGGCAGTCAGCACGTACACCTTGGGTAGCTCAGATGTGCTGGTTTCCAGCCAGCGACATGCTTTGTGTCAAAGACACAAGGGTTTGTTGTTCTCACTCACAATGCAGAGGCTGCTTCCGTGACACCAGAGGGATGTTGTAGTGAAGCCCTTGCTCCTGGTGGAAGCTGGTTTCGCATTACATACTTTTCTTTGAGGTACAGGAAAGGCCATTTACCAAACTGCACTTGTAGATCACTGAAAATTCATGCTTCATTTTAAATACAAAATACAAATTGAAATAATTACTGTATGTCCAGAGATTTTTATTCGACTCACAAATTTACTAATTGATTCCTCTCTTTAAATATTTCATGAGCATTGAAGAACTTCAAGCCAACATCACAGCATAGGAACACTTAACTTACGTGAATTCCAGTCTAGGCTTTGGTAAAACAAAAGAACAGTGTAGTTTTCATTTAGTGTAATGGCTGAGGAAACAGCAGTGTGTTTCAACACTTCAACAGTTATGTGCTTAAGAGATAGTGGAATATTGATAATAGAGTATTGTGTCATGTTTTCATGGGTCTTCTAAGAGACCTTCAGGGCTGCTGACTTTAGAACCTGACATCTAAGTAAGATGAGATGCCACTATATTATAAAGCCTTCATACTTCTTTATTTTCCTCAATTCTGTCAGCTTCATTTTTTTTTTTTTTTTTTTTTTCGGTGCGCGGGCCTCTCACCTCCGTGGCCTCTCCCGTTGCAGAGCACAGGCTCCGGACGTGCAGGCTCAGCGACCACGGCCCACAGGCCCAGCCACTCCGCGGCACGTGGGATCCTCCCGGACCGGGGCACAAACCCGCGTCCCCTGCATCGGCAGGCGGACCCCCAACACTGCGCCACCAGGGAAGCCCAGCTTCATTTTTTTTAATTGAAATATAGTTGATTTACAATGTTGGGTTAGTTTCTGGTGTACAGCAAAGTGACTCAGTTTTTTATATATATATATATATATATATATATATATACACACGCACACGCACACACACACACTTTTCAGAAAAGAATATATATATTCTTTCAGACTCTTCCATTATAGGTTATTACAAGATATTGGATATAGTTCCCTGTGCTATACAGTAGTACCTTGTTGTTTATCTATTTTATATACAGTAGTGTGTATATGTTAATCCCAAACTCCTAATTTATCCCTCCCCGCCTTTCCCTTTTGGTAACCGTAAATTTGTCTGTGACTCTATTTCTGTTTTGTAAATGAGTTCATTTATATCATATTTTTAGATTCCACATATAAATGATATATTTGTCTTTTTCTGTCTGAATTAATTCACTTAGTATGATAATCTCCGATTCCATCCATGTTGCTGCAAATGGCATTATTGCTTTATTTTTCATGGCTGAGTGGTATTCCATTGTATATATATATACCACATCTTCTTTAGCCATTCAACTGTTGATGGACACTTAGGTTGCTTCCATGTCTGGCCTATTGCCAGTAGTGCGGCAGTGAACATTGGGTGCATGTGTAATGAGTCCAGTGGTCTTTTCAAGAAGGATATGCTCTCTAACTTTGAGTAACGTAGCTTCTATGAGCCTGGGTCACCACGTCTGCATAAGGAATGTGGTAAAGAGTGAAGACCCCTACATCCTCCAGCCTACCTGCCTTTTGTCACTCAGCCAGGATTCTGGGTGGGCATACTCTAAGCAAAAGACCGTAGACAATATGACCCCCCAGTCAGGGTTCTTTTCTAGAGCTAGAAAGAACTGCTGCCCAGTTCGGTAGCCACTGGTCATAGAAAGCTATTGACATTTAAATTAATTAAAATTAACAGCTCATTTCCTTGGTTGCACTAGTCCCATTTCAACTACTCACTAGCCACATGAGGCTGGTGGCTACTAGCCTGGAAAGCATGGTTGTAGAACATTTCCATCATCACAGAAAGTTTCCATTGGAAAGCTCTCTTCTGAAGTATTTCAGTTATTTTTATACGTTTAAGAGGTTTGGGAGGAAATTAATGAATATGTTCAGAATTATATTCTTGGTGAAGATGGAGGTTTAACATAATGTTAGTCCCAAAATGATCAAAGATCCTAGTACAGACGCCAGGCTTTGTGGTGTAGCTTATATGAGTATGTTGAGCATAATACAAATAGAGTAGTCCCTCTTTCCAGAAAAAGCCTTGTCTTTGCTGCCATTCACACCTTGATGTGTGCCGTTCTCCTCATGTGAAATAATCTTTCCTTTTATTGCTTATTAAGATCTTTCACATCCTTCAAGCACCATTCAAGTTCCCTTTTAGGTCTTACCAATTTATGCTGACTTCCGTGCCGTCCCCTGCAATCTGTGATCTTCCAACTTTAGTAGTAACGTAGAGGCAGAGGCTTTATCACACACTCCATTCCGTCACACCTTACTGTGTCATTGTCCCCACCCCATCAGACATTCTTTGTACACAAAATCTCCGAAATTCTTTGTACACCATGACATCTTGAAAGTACTTGCCACAGATGGTTGTTCATTCAGCAGATGTTTGTGGAGGGCCTACTGATTGGAAGTTACTATCCTAGACATCAGGGAGGTAAGGAGGAAAGAGGTGGCAAATAGATAAATTTGTAAATATTTAGGAAGTTGGAGCAAAGCCAGGGATGATTAATGCATACCCATTCATAATTTATTTTACCATTTTATTTGTTTTATAAAAACTACCACTTAAAATGAGCAGTACAAGTGAATGTCAAGTACAGATCAAGATCATTGGACATGAATCTGGCTTTTTTCTTTTTCTTTAAAGATTACACTGCTCCCCAAAATCGAGCAGAGAAACAGCAGGAAGTTCCTTTCCGGCTGCCACAATATAAATAGAAGGTATACAGTGGAGCTGCCTTATCAGGGCAGGTTTCACTTTTTATATTAAACCCAAAAGTTGTGTTAACTGAGATGTTCTTTTTATTTATTTACTGGTACACATAGATGAAAGAGAATAATTGTAGCAAGAGTCCCAAGAGAATTTTGGTCTTGGGATTTCTAGCTCCATGAGCTGAAGCACATTATTTATCCAGTGTGGGGCTGTGAGACACACACCAGGTGGTGATGGTCCGTCTCGTAGGCTCACGTTGGACAGCTTTGTGCATGTCGAGGCCGGCGAGGGAGTGTCATCTTCTCTGGGGCTGGCGAGGCTGAGGTTGGGGCATGGGAAGTGCAGGATACCGGGAGCTGGTCATGGTGGCTGCTGGGATGCTCCAGCCTCTGGCACCTGAGGGTAAGGAGGGGAAACAAGTCGCCTGACTGGGACTCACTCACACCGCCAGCCCCTGCTCCCCTGCTCTGCCTTCTGTTTGAGTCATCCTGTCATGTGTGGTTGCAGTTTTCCCATAGGAAATAAGACCACAGCTACACAGTTCACAAAGTCAGCCTGGCACCTGCTTGAAATTTCCACAACACTTTGAAATAAATATTAGACAGGGGGCTTCCCTGGTGGCGCAGTGGTTAAGAACCCGCCTGCCAATTCAGGGGACAGGGGTTCGAGCCCTGGTCCAGGAAGATCCCACGTGCCGCGGAGCAACTAAGCCCGTGCGCCACAACTACTGAGCCTGCGCTCTAGAGCCCGCGAGCCACAACTACTGAAGGCCGCGCACCCAGAGCCCGTGCTCTGCAACAAGAGAAGCCACGGCAATGAGAAGCCCGCATGCCGCAACGAAGAGTAGCCCCCACTCGCCTCAGCTAGAGAAAGCCCGCGTGCAGCAACAAAGACCCAAGGCAGCCAAAAATAAATATAAATAAAATAAATAAATTTATTTAAAAAAAGAAAACATTAGACAGGAAGGCAGTTTAGTTGTTGATAAAAATGTATATTTCCTTATGCCCCAAAGAATTGAAGTCTAGAAGACAAATATTTGTCTGTCCGTCCCCCCCACTTTTAGCATAGCAGCCTTATTCACAGTAGCAAAAAGGTGGAAACAACCCATGTCCATCAGTGGATGAATGGATTTTTTTTTAGTGTGGTATGTCCATACAGTGAAATATTATTCAGCCTTTAAAAGGAAAGAAATTTGTAACATGCTACATCATGGTTGAACCTTGAGGTTCATGCTAAATAAAAGAAGCCAGGGCTTCCCTGGTGGCGCAGTGGTTGGGAGTCTGCCTGCCGATGCAGGGGACGTGGGTTCGTGCCCCGGTCTGGGAGGATCCCACGTGCCACGGGGCGGCTGGGCCCGTGAGCCATGGCCGCTGGGCCTGCGCGTCCGGAGCCTGTGCTCCGCGGCGGGAGAGGCCACAGCAGTGAGAGGCCCGCGTACCGCAAAAAAAAAAGAAGCCAGATGCAAAAAGATACATACTGTATGATTCCACTTATGTAAGGTACCCTGAGCAGGCAGATTCATAGAGACAGAAAGTAGAAAGGTGGTAGCAGGTGGCTGAGTGGAGAACAGAATGGGGAGTTAGTGTTTCATGGGTACAGTTTTAGTTCTGCGGAATGAAAAGGTTCTGAAGATTAGCATCACAGCAACAGGAATGTGCTTAACTACAGAACTGTACACTTGAAAATGATTAAGATGGTAAATCTTCTGTTATGTGTATTTTACCACAATTTAAAATTAAATATATGTATTCCTTGAAAAAAATTTCATGTTTAAAAACTAAAAATAAGTCATTTATTATTATTTTTTTTATTTATTTTTTTTTGCTGTATGCAGGCCTCTCACTGTTGTGGCCTCTCCCGTTGCGGAGCACAGGCTCCGGACCCGCAGGCTCAGCGGCCATGGCTCACGGGCCCAGCCGCTCTGCGGCATGTGGGATCCTCCCGGACCGGGGCACGAACCCATGTCCTCTGCATCGACAGGCGGACTCTCAACCACTGGGCCACCCGGGAAGCCCAAAATAAGTCATTTAAATACCCACTCACACTAATTCCTTCATTGTCATCCATTTACTATTACCTTGTTCACGTGTGAGTTTTTTTCAATTATTATCTTATAGAGAAGTCACGCTCACTTTTCCTTTTCCGATCAATCTAGAGCTCAGTAAATAGTGCATTCTGTTCATTAAATGTGTCATGAGTAGTACTAATCTGTTTTGTTGTTGTTTTGTTTCACTTCCAGGGAAAACATAAGTCTTTAGTTAGCCCTATTGCCCTCACGCCATCATAATAATATTACGTAAGGTTTGTGCAGCATATCTGTAACACACTGCGTGGCTTCAGTGCTTGCAGTGAAATGAGTACAGCAGCATATTCACCTCTCCCACTAGGAATGAGGTTGCATGATTCAGCCAGATCTAAGGGGCTGCGTTATTCCTTAGCCCTTCTGTCCCACAGCAGCCCACAAACTCCCCACCTGAGCTGCTCTGGAGGGCTGGAGGAGCCCAGGTGAGCCAGGTTGCATGGGACCTATCACACTGCTTGGGTGACACCATATTCTCTGAGCTGCCTTCCCCTGAAAAAGCGTAACTGTCACATCACATGGAATCCTTGCTTTGTCAACAGGAAGGCCAGAAAATATTTATTCCATTTATTCAACTGTATATTGAGAGCCTACTCTTGTAGTCTAGGGGCTGTACTGTATCCCACCTGTACGTGAACAAGAGGTGGTCCTTGACCTCAAAGACTTTATAGGCTATTCTCAATTCTTCAGCTAATGAACATGGAATCTTTTACATTAGAAGTTACACTCAAGGTTTTCTCTAGCCCAGACTCAACTTTGCACTCATGCGGTAATTCTCCTGCAACAACCCGGGTGGGAGCCATATGCGGCTTACCCTGAACTCTGCCAGAGTAAAACAGCTCTGGTTATTGTAGCTTTTCCTTAAACATTTCCTTCTAATTTCTGTCCTTGCTTCACCTTCTGCCTTCCTGGAAAATAACGATCATTTCTTTCTAGAGTTGTCCCTTCTAGAGGTGGAGATTCTTCTTTTTTAAAAAAAAAAAAAAAAAAAGAATCAACTTTATTTATTTATTTTTGGTTGCGTTGGGTCTTCATTGCTGTGCGCGGGCTTTCTCCAGTTGCGGCGAGCGGAAGCTACTCTTCCTTGCGGTGCACGGACTTCTCATCGCGATGGCTTCTCTTGTTGCGGAGCACAGGCTTTAGGCACGCGGGCTTCAGTAGTTGTGGCACGCGGGCTCAGTAGTTTCGGCTCGCGGGCTCTAGAGCACAGGGTCAGTAGTTGTAGTGCACAGGCTTACTTGCTCCACAGCATGTGGGATCTTCCCAGACCAGGGATTGAACTGGTGTCCCCTGCGTTGGCAGGCAGATTCTTAACCACTGTGCCACCAGGGAAGTCCTGAAGTGGAGATTCTTCTCTGATTTCTCTTATGACATGGTTTACAAAAGGCCCCTTGCCACCCGGTAGATTTCAGCATCAGAGTTTGATCCTGGCACTGTTATCATCCAAGGTCCATCAGTGCATCCCAACAGGGCGTGGGCTTTGC